CCTTTTGAGGGAGACAAAACAAGCTTTTGTTAAGTTTTGCAGAGTATGAAGTTGTAGCCCCAAGTGGAGTGCTTGCTTAATGTTGCTGGGTTCTGGGTTTGATTTCCCAGCAATTAAATAAATAAATGAAACCAAGGCAGGCGGATCTCTGAATTTGAGGTCAGTCTGGTCTACAGAGCGAGATCCAGGACAACCAGAGCTATGCAGAGAAACCCTGTCTCAAAAAAAACCAAACCAAAACAAATAGGTGGCTGGGTATGTATGGCTTTTAATCCCAGCACTCCAGAGGCAGAGAGGCAGGTGGATTTCTGAGTTCAAGGCCAGTCTGGTCTATAGAGTGAGTTCTAGGTCAGATAAGGTTAGATAGTCAGACTCAAAAAAAAACCAGAGCCGGTACTGTGGCACATGCCTGTTATTCCTGTACTTGGGAGGCTACAGCAGGAAGATTGCTGAATTTGAGTCCACTCTGAGCTAAACAGTCATTACCAGGATAGCCATGGTCGCACAATGAGATCTTATCTCAAACTAAATAGAAAAAAAAATGTAGGAAGAACAAAATGTAACAAAGTCTTCATTGTATAATGCTCAAAACTAGTTTCCCATCAACTATCCACCCTCCCACCTCCAGGACCTCCTTGTACTCGGACAATTCACTCTCCTGCCAAGAACTCCCCACTCTTCACAGGGGAAGATAAGGATGAGAAATAGCATTTGGGATGCAAATAAACAGCAGATAATAATCCATAATTCTTTTTAATCTTAAAGATGAGTCACCTTCAATTTATTTCCACATTTCTTCTGTCATCTGCTGTTCACTTTGAAAATCACCAGATTAACACTGCCAAAGGCAGGTAGAAAATGATCCAAGAGGCCAATTCAGAGGTGTCACATGATGAGAGGCTGAGAAGCTGGGAACAAGACAATCCTCAGGAAAATCTCTTTTTAGTCCCAGCAAAGACACTGATGTGTGAACCTAATTCACACTTCTATTATCCCTATCAGGTTATTTTTACAACAGTGAAATTTTAGAACAAGACTTGTTAGGGGATTATTTATTTCCTGGGGAGTTCTGTCTATCACTCTGCATATAATTTTTTTTTTTTTTTTTTTTTTTTTTTTTTTTTGGTTTTTGGAGACAGGGTTTCTCTGTGTAGCTTTGCGCCTTTCCTGGAACTCGCTTTGGAGACCAGGCTGGCCTCGAACTCACAGAGATCCGCCTGGCTCTGCCTCCCGAGTGCTGGCATTAAAGGCGTGCGCCACCACCGCCCGGCCTGCATATAATATTTTAAAGTCTAACTCCAGAGTTTATTTCAAGCCATGTTTTGTATTTCTGCTTTTTAAAGATGGGGCTCCCACAGTGGCCCAGGCTAGCCTGGGACGCACTATGTACGGGTCGGCTTTGAAATCACAATATAGTCATCTCAGCCTCCTGAGTGCTGGGATTACAAGCATGAGCCACCATGACCCTTTTTCTCCCCAGAATTGTCCTCTGTACAAAGAATTCCAAAATAGACTACAAAACTATTCTCATACCATAGACATAAGAAAAATAACCAAGGCAAGTCTGGTGGCATAGGTCAGTAATCCCAGTTGCTCAGGAGGCTGAGGCAGGAGGATTACAAGTTCAAGGCCTGTCTAGGCTAGTGACTTCAAGACTAGCTTGAGCAACAAAGTAATAAAATGAAAAAAAGAAAAGTGAGCTAAAGATATAGTTTAGAGGTAGACTACTTGCCTACCATGCAGAAAACACTTTGAAATTCAATCTCATTGCCATATTAAAAAGGAAAAAAAAGTGTGTGATCATGCTATGGACCAATGGAATTGAACTGAAGACCCTGACATATGAACATATGATTTTTTGACAAAGAAGCCAAAACTATACAATGGAAAAAAGAAAGTATCTTCAACAAATGGTGCTGGCATAACTGGATGTCAACATTTAAAAGATTGCAAATAGATTCATATCTTCACCATGAACAAAACTCAAGTCCAAGGTGATCAAAGACCTCAACATAAATCCAGTCACACTGAACTTGATAGAAGAGAAAGTAGGAAGTACTCTTGAACGCATGGGCACAGGAGATCACTTCCTAAATATAACACCAGTAGCACAGACACTGAGAGCAACAATTAATAAATGGGACCTCTTAAAACTGAGAGGCTTTTGTAGGGCAAAAGACACAGTCAATAAGACAAAAAGACAGCCTACAGATTGGGAAAAGATCTTCACCAACCCCACATCTGACAGAGGACTGATCTCCAAAGTGAATAAAGAATTCAAGAAACTAGACACCAAAATACTGAACAATCCAATTAAAAAATGGGCTACAGAGCTAAACAGAGAATTCTCAAAAGAAGAATCTCAAATGACTGAAAGATGTTTAAGGAATTGCTCAACATCCTCAGTCATCAGGAAATGCAAATCAAAACGACTCTGAGATACCACCTTACACCTGTCAGAATGGCTATGATCAAACTGAAGACAGCTTATGTTGGAGAGGATGTGGATCAAGGTGAACACTCCTCCACTGTTGGTGGGAGTGCAAACTTGTACAACCACTGTGGAAATCAGTATGGCGATTTCTCAGAAAATTGGGAATCCATCTACCTCAAGACCTAGCCATACCACTCTTGGGCATATACCCAAGGAATGCTCAATCATACCACAAAGATACATGCTCAACTATGTTCACAGTAGCATTATTCATAATAGCCAGAACCAGGAAACAACCTAGATGCCCGTCAACTGAAGTATGGATTAAGAAAATGTGGTACATATACACAATGGATTACTACTCAGCAGAGAAAAACAATGACATCATGAAATTTGCAGGCAAATGGATGGAACTAGAAAATATCATCCTGAGTGAAGTTACCCAGACTCAGAAAGACAAACATGGTATGTACTCACTCATAAGTGGATACTAGATATAAAGCAAAGGACAATCAGACTGCAACCCACAGATTCAGGGAGGCTACCTAGCCGGAGGGACTCTAGGAAGACTGAGGTTTATAGTAAGTTTTAGCTTTACCCAATCACTGGACAAGCTTTAGTGAAACATTTCACTATTAGGATAAGAATTTATACTGTATCAAGCTGATGAAAGAGAATGCTGGCCGTACTTTCAGGAGGGGAGGCTAAAATCTTTTTAGACTATAGATTAGCCTATAGAAAAATGTCTGCCATAAAACAAACAATGAAATGGAAGATGAATAGTAAGCTCACTTACACAACTTAAGTAAAACATAGCTCTCTGAACAAAAAATAAAAAATAAATAAAAATAAAAAGGAAAAAGGACCAGGTAGTGGTGGTGCATGCCTTTAATCTCAGTACTCGGGAGGCAGAGGCAGGTGGATCTCTGTGAGTCCGTGGCCAACCTAGTCTACAGAGCAAGATCCAGGTGAGCCAGGACTGTCACACAGAAAAACCTTGTCTCATGAAAAAAAAGGTGGGGGGTGGGGAGAAACAAAGAAATGCCAGGTCAGCAAGATACATCAGCAGGTAAAGATGCTTGCTGCCAAGCCTGGTGTGAGTTTAATCTCTAGGACTCACTCGCACGGTGGAAGGAAAGACGTGACCCCCACAAGTTGTCCTCTGACCTTCACACATGCACCATGTACCACACACACACAAAATAAATAAGTGCTTGTGTTTGTTTTTTGTTTTTTTTTCTTTTTTCTTTCTTTCTTTTTTTTTGGTTTTTCGAGACAAGGTTTCTCTGTGTTGCTTTGCACCTTTCCTGGATCTCGCTCTGTAGACCAGGCTGGCCTCGAACTCACAGAGATCTGCCTGCCTCTGTCTCCAAATGCTGGGATTAAAGACATGTGCCATCACTGCCCAGCAAGTAAGTGCTATTTCTCTTTAAGTGCTATAAAAAAGAAATGTAGTATAGTTAGATATGAATTTTGTAAATGTGTGGGAATCTCTTGTTCATTGCACTGCAAGGGTCTTTAGTTCCTCTGTAAGTATAAACGTGGTTTGTTTTTTTTTAAGATTTATTTATTTATTATTTATACAATGTTCTGTCTGTATGTACACCTGCAGGCCAGAAGAGGGCACCAGATCTCATTATTGATGGTTGTGAGCCACCATGTGGTTGCTGGGATTTGAACTCAGGACCTCTGGAAGAACAGCCAGTGCTCTTAACCTATAAGCCATCTCTCTAGCCCTAAACGTGTGGTATTTTATTTGTATTTGAATTACCTTCTTCAAGCTGACTCAGTCCTTACCACCACTTAGCCTCTAACTCTGACTCAAGAGTGAACTAGGAGACTGCAGTTCAGATGTTCCCTCTAGGAACTGGATCCAAATCATAGTCCAGTCAGTGAGGGCACGCTTAGGAGGGTGGCTTCCCACTGTCCTTAATGTTGTCTTCAAATCAACCCTGCAAATGCAGACTAGTAGCTCCTTTCTCTTTCTTTTCTTTCTTTCAGTTCTAGGGATCAATACTTCACATACACACATGCTAGGCAAGTGCTCACTTATATTAGAAGATCATTCCTCAACTAAATTCATTGTTTCTATTTGCCTATGTAGACAGCAAAGGAGAGAAACAAAGAACCAGGGTACTAGGTATGAGGACTTAAACCTGTGATCCCAGCACCTGGGAGGCTGAAGGAGGAGGACCGTTACAAGGGCCAGGCCAACCTGTGCTACATAGCGAGCACCAGGACATCCTGTGTTATATGGAAAAACCATCTCAAACAAAAAAAGCAAGGAAGGAAGGAAGGAAAGAGGGAAGGAAGGAAGAGAGAGAGAGAGAGAGAGAGAGAGAAATAAATCAGGACAAACACTGTTTTCACTTGAGATTTCCAGATAATTGAAACAATAAAATACTCTGGTTATGTGCTGTTTCCTCCTTTACTATGATTTTACTGTTGCCACCAGTGAACTTTCTCAAGAGTGGTGCACAGCCTGGAGTTCACTGCACATTAGGGAAACATTATATTGGTTTTGACACATTTGCAAGGGCTGGAATGCACCTCCCCACCCCCACCCCCCCCCCACCCCCGTCCTTCTAAAACATTAAATGTTAATTTATGACAAGTATGCACATTCAGTCACACTGGATGACAGAACTTGGTGATGAGTGGTAAGGAGGAAAGTCTCCCTCTTTCCTCTACCTTCCACACTAACTAAAATGAGTGAGCATCAGCTCCTGCCGGATTCGGTCAGCCTCTAAATCCAGGGACTCCATTTGCTCATGCTCGCCCTCAGGTGACTGTTCAATGGGTCCAGTGACTGGAGAGGACCAAATGTCCATCCCGTGTTCCAGGGAAATGTTGTGAAGGACACAACAAGCCAAGATGATGTGGCTGGATTTCTCTGGTGAGTACTGCAGTGCTCCCTTCGATCCGTCCAGGCACCGGAACCTACAGCACAGCGTTCGCAAAGTCTTCTCAATCACACTGTGAGTTGCAGAATGGGCCCTATTATAGCGATACTCTGTTGGAGTTTCAGGAATATGAAGTGGAGTCATGAGCCAGGTTCGGAGAAAGAAGGCACTGTCACCTGAATGAAAGGCCAAAGAGAATGTGACTGTGAATGGATTATAAACAAGAAGTGAAATTCAGGCAGGATGTGGTAATCTCAGTGCTCAAGATGTTGAGACAGGAGGACTACCTCAAGTTCCAGGCCAGTCTAAACTACATATGAGAACTTGTCTCTCAGAACAAAAAGTTAAATTTGGAAATACAGTAAGGAAGGAGAGGAAAATACAACAGCCTTTGGAGCCAAAGCATACCATACCATAATAACCAACAGAAAAATGCTGTCATAAGAAAGTACAGGAGGGGGGCTAAAGAGATGGCTGAGGTCAAGAGTATGTGCTGCTCTTTTTTGCGGGGGGGCGGTGAGACAGGGTTTCTCTGTGTAGTTTTGGTGCCTGTCCTGGATCTCGCTCTGTAGACCAGGCTGTCCTCGAACTCACAGAGATCTGCCTGCCTCTGCCTCCTGAGTGCTGGGATCAAAGGCATGTGCCACCACCGCCCGGCATATGTACTGTTCTTGCAGAGGACCTGGATTTAATTCCCAGCACCTACCTGTGGCTTACAACGATCTGTAACTCCAGTTCCTGGGAAATCAACAACAGTTTTGTGGCCTCCGAGGATACCAGGGACACATACATACTATACACACACATATGCAGGGCAACTCTCACTCTCCTAAACTAAAACTCAATAATTTTAAATAGAAGCATGAACTACTACTGACTGGCTCCTTTCCCCTTCCTTGAAGCGTGTTCTCTGCCCACAGTTCTTCAACCCTTCCTCCCTTTTCCCCATGGTGGTGGTGATGGTAGGAGATGAATGTCAAGGCTACACACCAAGCCCAGCACAGGTGGCACAAACCAGTAATGCCTGCACTTGGGAGTCTGAGGCAGGAGGATGACCAGTGAGGCCAGCCTGGTCTATACAGTGAAAGTCCATCTCAAAAACAATAAAGTTTATCACTGTTAGAAGCATAAGGCAGTGTTGGCTGGCAATCTCCTTGACCAAAACCAATGGGGGAAAAAGCTGATAGCTAAGGAGATCTAATCTGAAAGCATCTGAAGGAAGTAGAAACACAGCAATCAGATCCTTGGCTCTTTCCTTCTTGGTGTTGTATTTTTTAGCCATGCAGGGGGAGAACTCAGGGCCTTGCACACATTGGAGAAGGGTTCTGTCTGTGCTAGAGCGAAAGCCCTCAGAATTGCTTTTTTTTTTTTTTTTTTTTTTTGGTTTTTCGAGACAGGGTTTCTCTGTGTAGCTTTGCGCCTTTCCTGGAACTCACTCTGTAGACCAGGCTGGCCTCAAACTCACAAAGATCCGTCTGACTCTGCTTCCCGAGCGCTGGGATTAAAGGCATGCACCACCACTGCCCGGCTGTCTTTTTTTTATTATTATTATTTACTTTTCTTTTTCTTGAGATAATTTCACGTAGCCCAGGCTGGCCTGGACCTTGCTAGGCAGCTGAGGATAACCTCATGATAACATAATGATAAAGGGTCAGATGTGGTGGCATATATCTTTAATTCCAGCACTCAAGAGGCAGAGTCAGGAAGATTTCTGTGAGTTTGAAGCCAGCCTGGTCTATATGGTGAGACCCCGTCTCAAACAAACAAACCACCACTACCCCCCCAAAATTCAGACAGGATACCATATTTACACAATCTCTAAAGAGTTCAAGGGAAAAATAAATTCCTACAGGAGATCGAAAAACACTCAGGAAGAAAATTTCTAATTTTACTATTAACTTCCATGTCTGAAAGCATGACCTAGGTAGGGATTTCATACCATTTCACAATGATTTATCCTCCCAGTGCTGAGAAGAGTAAGACCTGTGTCTGCAGCAGCCGTCAGAACTCAGGGAGCTGCATCCTTGGATACTGCAATCACATAATCACACTTTTGTGACAGAGGTGCTGGAGGAACACCAATATGAGGATGCAAATAGTAATAATGAGAAGAAATCAGAAGTAGATTCAAGTAATACCGAATGCATTTCCTTTCAGTGACTTCCTTATCACAGGATCCTGGGAAGTCCTAAGAACAGCAAACAGAAATGGGCAGCCAAGTCCTAGTCCAGCAGCACAAGGTTTCTCTAATGTTTAATTGTCCTGACTCACCACTGCAGACAAACAGAGGTGTGACTTCTCCCCCCCACCCCCAGACTGGGTCTCATTACACAGCCCTGTCTGTACTGGAACTCACTCTGTAGACCAGGCTGGCCTCAAACTCACAGAGCCACCTGAGTGCTAGGATTAAAGGTATACGCTACTATGCCCAGCTGGGTGCAACTTTTTATAAGTCCCAATCAGACACTGGGCCCTGAGTACCAAAGTAAGCACTGTACTCCTGATCCACCATTAAGTTCAATAAATAGTCAGACCGTTAAGACAGAGATGGCCACTGTTCTAAAAATAATAAAAGACTTCTTTCATTTAGGAGCTTATGTTTCTAAGACGGGACTAGCTGAAAATAACTGAGATGTCTCACAAAAATGTAAAGTTTATATTTAGTTGGTTTTCTTTTTGAGACAGTCTCGTTCTGTAGACCTAAAACTCCTATGTAGCTCAAACTGACCTTAAATTCACATAATCCTCCTGCCTCGGCCTCCTAAGTGCTGGGACTATAGGCATGATCTAACACATCTGGCTTTCTCCCTACCACTTTTGTTTTGAATCTAGGGTCTCATGCAGATCAGACCCCTAAACTTCTGATACTTGTCTCTACCTCTCAAATGTGGTATTACAGACATACACCAACTCCTTTCTTCTTTGAACTAAACTCACTCTTTCTAACTCTACATTTTTCTAAACTCTACATTTTTAAAAACGGATGTGAGCAGGCTATGATGGTATACACATATAGCCTAGCACTTATGAGACAAGTTTGAGGCCAGCCAGGACAAAAAAGAGAGACTGGGGGAAGAGATGATGCTGGACCCTAGAGGTGCCTGATAGAACTAAAAAACCTGAGGATCCAGGTTTGATCCCTGGAACCCCTGCGTGAAAGGAGAGTACTAACTCCTGCAAATTGTCCTCTGATCTCCACATATATAAAAATGTTTTAAAAGGATGTAACACCTGTGACATACTGAACATCTACTATGTAGTAGGGACAGTAATCGGTGAGCAGCACTTTTGGGCTCAGAGTAAGGCCTTTTCTTTCTCCCCGCCACTCCAAAAAGAGCCAAGAGCTGGACAGGATGGCTCAGTGGGTAAAGCACTTGCCACATGAACCTGACAACCTGAGTTCATACGAAGGTCGAAACTCTGGAACTCACGTAAAGGTAGAAAGAGAGAACCAATTCCACAAAGTGTTCTGACCTTCACAGGAATGCTAAGGAATGTATGCCCTCAACACTTAGACATCATACACACAAAATAACAATAAAAAAATAAATAAAACAAGCTCCATACTCATTAACTGACTATAACTCAAGCATCACTGGAATACAGATACTCATGAGGGGATTAGGATCAGATGGGGAACAGATTATAAATGCTTATGCGATCATTCAGTCACCCATAAGACATTCGGGGAGATCTTACCCAAAGCTGCTTAACAGCACTAGCCTAAGAGCTGAAGAAGTAAGAACTCAGCTGACCTGTTTAGAGAGGGGTGTGTTTAGAGATGGGAGTTTAGGTAATACACCTATAGGGACAGCTAAGAATGAGAGCAGGAAGGGACGGTTTAAAAGGAACTTAAAGTGGAGTATGACAGTATGCACCTGTAATCCCAGCTACCCCAAGATGAGCCAAGAGGACCCGGCTCCTGAAGCCAGTCTGGGAAACAGTGAGATGCCTGTCTCAAACAACAACAACAACAACACACACACACACACACACACACACACACACACACACACACACACACAAAGAGCTTAAATATTCTGTGCCTCCTCTCAATTTCCTCTTTTCTAAAAAAAAATTGATATTATTTAACTTTTGTTAAAGCAGGGTCTCCTGTTTCCCTTGCTGGCCTTGAGTTTTCAGGTAATACTAGCATTCAAGGAGGCTGAGGCTGGTGGATTATGAGTTCAAGGCCAGTTTGAGGGCAGACTGGAAGACATATTGAAATCCTGTCAAGAGAAAAATAAAAAGTACCAGTGAGTGTTGCATGGAAAATGATATGTGTAACTGAGAAAAATCAGAAGCTGGGAGCTCATCGGTGTGCCAGCAGTCTGCCCACTGGGAACTGGGGAGGCTTCTCTTTAATGGAAAATGTAAACATTAGAGGCAGGTAGTTCCCGAGCACCTGCTCATGTTAAGCATCTCACTTGGAGCACATACTGTACAGATATGATTAGTGATTTTCCACTAAGAAAGATGTATTCCAGCACGGGATAATCCCCCCCATAAGTTCTCACCACGAGGTTAATGCTGTCTTGAAACTCACAACCCTGCCTCAGCATCTTACATCCTTCATACACGGTTCTTTTTCTCTTCTTTCTCTTCTTTTTTAGGTTACAGGATCTCATGTAACCTAGTGTAAAGTACATTATACTGGTAAATTGTCATATGCTGTTTGAGCTCACTGAAAAACTTGCTCTAGAATGGAGGGTTCCTCCCCCAAGTTCAGGCCCAAGCACATTTGTCTCATTATTTTTGTTGTTGTTGTTGTTGTTTTGTTTTTTTAAAGATGTATTTATTTATTATGTATACAGTGTTCTGCCTGCATGTATGCTTGCATTCCAGAAGAAGGCACCAGATGTCACTATAGATGGTTAGGAGTCACCATGTGGTTGCTGGGAACTGAACTCATGACCTCTGGAAGAACAGCCAGTGCTCTTAACCTCTGAGCCATCTCCCCAGCCCGTCTCACTGTTTTTTAAAGCTCCCTGTCTGGGGATGGGCTGCCTTCGAGGAGAGAAAAGCACAGCAAAACAGCTCAAGACTAAAAACATCTTGTTCTTGGAACAGCTAGAAGGTGAACCATGTCAACAGATCTTACTATTATTTAGTCCATGATAAAAAGGTGCCAACAGACAAGATTGGAGCGTTCAGGGTGGTATGGTCGTAGTTTTGG